ATATGCACTCGAGGCGCACCATCGGCAACAACCACTTTCAAAATACGGATATACTGAACCTTCTTTTTGTGTAGACAAAGGTATGGGGATTTGACGGTTTTTATTCCAATCAAAAATACTCTGTTTGTGGCAAGATATGCGCCTTCAAACATCAGGGTCAAAATTGGTGTAAGCCTTCTAAAGAACCTAATTTTCTACCCACTACTACTGTAGGGAAGATTAGCTGAATACTTGAAATTCGAGCTATCCTCTACCTTTTCTGTACTTTTTGGCGCGAACTAGGAGCTGTTTTTTCAGAATCGGTCTGGCCATTGCTGAACGTCTCGGTTGTGAAGGTGCTGCAGTTGTCATTTGCAGCCGTAATAAGAAGAACGTTGACGACGCCGTTCAATACCTGAGATCTAAAGGACTCACAAAGGTCGCAGAATTATTCGAAGTGACTTAGTTGAAAACTTGCTTGTGGCATGAATTCAGTAAATTTTTCAGGTGGATGGACTGGCAGTGCATGTAGCAAACGCAGAGCATCAACGGAATCTCATTAATTATGTTCGTTTGTGCCAATTTAAAATATAAAAAATGGGTCTGCGGAAACGCTTACCCTTTATGTGGCCACTCAAACAATTGAAAATACTGAAAAATTTCAGACAATTGACAAATTTAAGAAGATCGATATTCTCATAAACAACCATGGAATCAATCCGGCCTTCGGTCACATCCTTGGTGAGTTGTTCTTCCTGATTGGTTGGTCTGCCAGAATTGGTTAATTGCGCGGAAGTATTGGAGCATGACATGCTGGTAGCTAATTTTTTAAATCATTCTTTTCAATTTCAGAAGTGGAAGACAGTATCTGGGACAAACTTTTTGAGGTGAATGTGAAAGCCGGCTGGCAGTTGGCGAAGCTTGTTCATCCACACATGGTAAAGAACGGGTGAGTCGACTGTTCCATTCAAGGTTCACTGATTAATTGATGGCGTGAATATTTGAAATATTCGAAAAAATAAGAAATAAGTATTAAACAAGGGTGGTGAACTTCCACGATTGAAATGGGATGAAGGAGAGACAGTTCTCAGTACGATGGGTAAATGAGATTGAAATTTTTATTTTTTTCCTGGTTTTCCTGGAATTTCAGTAGAATGAAATTCCTAATAAATGTGATAGTGAGGAGATTATAATGCCGCATTTAATTGCGCTAAAGCTACGCGTTCTTCTTCTTCTTCTTATTCTTTAGCGTCTGTCCCGCTTGTAGGCGGGGTCCGCTTTTCTGATGTGTTGACGCCACTTTTCCCGATTAAATGCTTGATCGGGGTGGATGTTAACGACTTCAAGTCTCGTGCAACGTATCGAGCCATCGCTGCTTCGGGCGCCCCCTAGGCCGCTTTCCGGGCACGTCAAGGTTGAGACCGATCTTACAGACACTGTCATCTTTCGCGCGAAGGACATGACCATACCATCGAAGACGGGCTTCGCGCATCTTGTCGACAATTGGAGCCACCCCGAATCGCTCTCTGATGACATCGTTTCGAATGTGGTCTACTCGTGTGACTCCGGCTGTCCACGCAGCATCTTGGTCTCCATCACACTGAGCCGTGCTTCGATCTCTTTAGTCGTAGGCCAGCACTCAGCACCGTAAATCGCGACCGGCCGGATGACGGTCCTATAGATCTTAGATTTGAGACGTTCTGGCATTTTTATCGCAGAGAACGCCAGTCATCGAGCGCCATTTCGACCAGGCTGCATTCACGCGAGAATTCGTTTCGAAGACCAGGCTGCCGTCAGACGCGATTGCTGATCCAAGATACTTGAATGATGTTGCACGAGTGAGTTCAGTACCATTGATCTTAATAGAGCCTAACTCACTCGAATCGGTGGTCAAGTACTCAGTCTTCTTAACGTTCAGCTTGAGCCCGAACATAGCTAGACGATCGGACCAGGCTTGTACCTGTTGCTCGAGCGTGCTTTTATCTTCGCTAGCGAGCATCACGTCATCAGCATAAAGAAGTGTCCATGGAGCCGGCTTCTGGAGATCTCTCGTAATGGCATCCATGACGACAACAAATAGAGTGGGGATAACGCAGAGCCTTGGTGTACTCCGACAGAGATGGGAAAATCCGTCGATGTGCCCGCGGCCGTTTGCACTCGGCTCTTTGGACTCGAGTACAGGATGCGCACCCACTCAATAAGCTCTTCGGGAACGCCATGCTGTCGTAAGGCATACCATATAACGTCGCGGAACGCGGTCGAAATGCCTTCTCCAAGTCTAGGAAGGCAAGGTGCACCGGTCTTTGTTTCTCGCGATGCTTTTCTAGCAGAAGGCGAGCGGCGTGTATGGCATCGATAGTGCTGCAACTAGCCACAAAACCACACTGGTTGGTGGTCAGCTCGACGATGTCCCGGATACGGCTATCTACAACTCGCTCAAAGATTTTCATGCTGTGCGAAAGCAGGCGAATTGGACGATAGCTAGTGCAGTCTCCTGGATTGCCCTTCTTCTTCCAGATAGGAATCGTCGTGAAATCACTTCTTTCTGCAACGACCTGGTTGAAGAACTCCGTCAACCATTCTGCAGGATTCCAGCATTTTGATTTCCACAAGTCCGCCGCTAAGTCGTCAGGACCAGTTGCTTTGCCTGATTTCATCTTCTTCATGGCCGTGATGGTCTCCTCCACGGTTATCTTCTGAACGGGACCGTGTACTGGCGGAGCGCAGGGGATGGCGGGATGAGTAAATTCGACTGTTGAGATGTTTTCGAAGTAGTCACGCCATCGTTTCAGTGTTTTCTTGCGGTCCGTCAAGAGGTGGCCATTCTCGTCATTTATGCCGAAGAATTTTTCTATATCCTCGGTCTGGCGATGGCGGGTCTTTGCAAGTCGGTAAACGTACCGCTCTCCATCGCGCGACTCGAGTTTCTTACTGATATCAGCAAAATGAGCTGCTTTCGCAGAAGCAACGGCCTTCTTTGCCTCTTTCTTCGCTATCTGATAGCTCCGCCAGTTCTCAGCTGTCTTTTCGTGAAGAAATGCGTGGTACCGCTTCTTCTTTTCGCGCACTTTCTCTCTGACCTGGTCCGTCCACAGCCACGTTTGCTTGTCAATTCTCCGCCGCCCCGGCTTCGTCATCCCGAGCTCGGATCGAGCTATCCGAGTTGGCAGCACCTTTCCAGGTTTCGTCGACAGTCGTTACCGCTGGTAATTGAATGCGGGAAACGACGGCCGCTTCTTTTTCCTTCAGTCGCCACCACTTGATTCTCGCTGGCCCACACCTTTCGGTTAGTTTCGGTTTCGGCGGGGCGATCTTAGCGTACAAATTAGTGGTCGGTGTTGCGTGGCGACCGTTTCATAAGGCACTGTTTTCGCGTCTGTTACGAGTCCTTGGTCGCGGCGCCTGACAAGTACGAAATCAATTTGTGTTCTGGTGTTACCGCTATAGAAGGTGATGAGATGTGAGTCGCGTTTTCGGAATTTCGTGTTCACAATGGCGAGGTTGTGCGAGTCTGCATACTCGAGAATTCGCTCGCCATCAGTGTTACGTGACCCATATCCAAAACCACCGTGACAGCTGTAACCGTCTTTCGTAGCGCCAACGTGCCCATTGAGGTCACCTGCGACAATTATAGCTTCTTGTGACGGAACCTCAGCTGTCTTCTCATCAAGCAGGTTCCAGAACTTGTCTTTGGCTTGCTCGGAGCATCCGGTCTGCGGAGCGTACGCAGAGAAGAAGTGGTATTTTCGTTGTTCGATGACGACAATGATTTTCATTAATCGGTCGTCGAAGCGCTCCACGCTCACTATCGAATCACGGAAGCGTTCAGAGACAATCATCCCGACGCCATTGGTGGTTTGGGACCGCCACAGAGAACGGCTTTGAAGCCGCGGCCAATGTCCCTCGACTTGCAGCAGGACCACCTCGTTTCCTGCACGGCACAGAAGTCTATTCGTCGGCGCTCTAGCGCTTCTGCCAGCTCGCTGGAGCGGCCCGTCAACGTGCCAACATTTAATGTTGCAACGCGGGTCTTCGATACGTTGCATGGCTTTTGGACTAGCGTAGTTTCCCCCCGGCGTTGCCACTGACAACTGCTCACCTTTGTGAGCTGAGCCGACACGACATTCCGAACTGCAGCGATAATTGAATGGGGAGAGTTGGTAGGAAAGAGGTTTAGTGAGCAAGATGCTCGCAGCACAGTTTCGTAGCTCAGACTAATTCAACTTATGTACAGTTGCAAGTGCGAGATTGGGCTGGGTAACTAAGGGAAGAATAATCGGTGGCACCCACATGTTGACTTCTTTGGACTTTTCATTTTCACCTGCATATTTGGGAACCCCAAGTCAGTGAGGGTTAATTCAGGAGCGGTCTGTTCAACAGTTTCAAAAAGATTTGGTTTGATCTTAATCACCAGTTATTCTTTGCCAAGCTTCGATATCCGACCATCACCGTAATTTCCTTCGAAGCATTTACCATCGCAAGAAAGTCATTTTGGACTACGACCGCACAGCGGCTCTTTTGTGGATTTGTCGCCAAATGCTCAGTTGGTGTTGCCAGTTGCTTCCGCACTTTCCGACCGAATATGGGGGGGGGGAGACAAAAAACTCGTGCAAGTAAGCTGCTGGGCGTGTTTTACTCAAGAGCTTGAAAAAAAATGGTGAAAAGTGATCCTGTATAAAAACGACAATACTTCTAAATAGAGCGTGAAACGTGCTTAATGAAGATGTATAAATAGGTAGCCGAAATCAGGCTGCTACGCCGTAATACACGTTGCGTGTCATGGAGTGTGCGCTAAGTACTACTCGTCCAAATGCTAAGATTAGTCGCCAAATGCTGACTTTGTAAGACCCTAGCGCCATTGTCGCGCACTTTCGAGCCGCGACAACGGCACATCTGTGCTACTCGTGGGCTACTCTATCCCACCCACTGAATATTCTTCGACACGACTTCTGCTGGGGGGGGGGTTACATGAAGCTGCCCTGTCATCTCTGTCCAACGGTTCAAAATGCACAACTAATGCTTTCTTTTCCGCGGAAAGATCGGAGTTTGACAGGTCAGAAAGGAGAAAGCTCACGAAGGTTATCAATCCCTGTTGGGATGCGCCACGCATACTGTGTCGTGGTTTCAGTGGTAAAGCGGATAGGGTTATACAATGAATTCGGGCCAGCTCGTGTATAATAAAAGCAACGATTCTGTCAAACGATTCGCGACCAGATGATCGATCCAATGGATGGAACTTGAACAAGAGTTGGAATTTGATCTCTGAACTGTGCGAGAAGAGCGCCATTTGCCGCTATACTACACAGCGCCCATTTGATTACTTATTGATTAGCAATCGGTATCAAACTCACCCCTTCGTTGCTGCTGTCACAATGGCAACCTTTCCTTCCAATCGTCGACAGGTGGACATTTCTCTGAAGTTGGCAAATCATTCCGATAAATTCAACAACCAAGAAAGGACAGTACGATTGCGAAAACGGGAACAGACGATCGCAAATAAAACCAGAAAA